GACACAGGGTCGGCTAGACCCCAATTCAATTTGATCGTATCAATCAATTCCAACAATAACTTTCAATCACCGATTGCTTTAATGTAAATGTAGCCCTAAAAATCAAAACAAGAAACCAATCTTAACAACTAAAAAAAGAAAAAATAAAACACAACTCATAACGAGTCACCAAACCCGTAAAAAAAATCCATATTATAAATAAAAATATACCTTGTGACTGAAAAATGGGAAAATGCGAACAGATGACAGATCAGGATTAAAGAAACCCTAAATTTTTAATTTTAGGAGATTGCTTTGGGAGACTGAAATCGTCGTGTAGAAATTAGAATCGTAGATGTGTATGTATTATGTATACCNCAGGTTTAAAGAAACCCTAAATTTTTAATTTTAGGAGTTTGCTTTGGGAGACTGAAATCGTCGTGTAGAAATTAGAATCGTTGATGGGGATGTATTATGTATACCTTTTTTTTTTTTTGCTTTGTGGCAGGAATCTGAAACATATCTGTATTTTGCAAATAGGGTTTGAGTTGTGGGCTGGGCTGGATGGTAGTTGGGTTCACAGTTAACTGAGCAGAATTAAAAAAAAAAAATCCCAAAAAAAATTGTGGGGTCATTTGACCCCACATGACACCATGTGGGTCCGCCCCTGATTCTAGTCTCTATTTCTTTATGTTATATTTGATAATAATACAAGAAATCGGATCTCTTTAAAACACGATGCATCAGGCATGCAAGCTAAAATAACTCGCGATGGCCTTAGCTATCTTTCGAAAGTAAGCTCCGCAAATATTCCACCTAAAAATGCTTTGATCCAATGCAGGGTCAACGCCCCAAGACATTCATAACGGAACATCTTAGATGATGTCGCCAAAATAAAAGGATTTGATTTTCCAGGAACAAATCTTCCTGTTAATAGCTGGTAAAGGATAAAAGAACGCGTGCTTGAAAATCCTTATTTTAAAAAGCATGTATCCGATATTTTGAAAGGTAAGGTAAAAAACCTACTCGCTAGTAAAGATAACTTAGCAAATACTAAGGGAAGCATTAGCGATAAAAGTCAACGACAAAGGCGCTGCACCTGAAGCAAGGTCTCATAACTAAGGAATTGTAGCTAAAGGCAAGGCAAGGCTAGTTCCGCCTGGCAAAGACTATTCTAGCCCAGATGGGTGAAAGCGAGGTCTATCCCGTCAAAGAAAATTCAATTAAAGGCGAGGTTTATCCCGCTAAAGGAGTTTTCATTTAAGCAAGGTTTGTCCTGCCAAATATGGGGATTTGGTGCGGAAACGTTTATGAAATTCTTGTAATAAGAATTATGTAATAAATAAGAATGATATTTGAACAATCATGTCTTGTATATATTGAATAAGAATTGATTGTTGTTGAAAGTGTACAATGCCTTTGTATTTATAGGCAAAACTATTCCCTAATTCTATTAATATAAGGAAACTAAATTCTAAAAGGAAACAAACTAATCCTAATCTAAACAAGAT